CTCAAGCTCAGATCTGAAGTATAAGCAAGAGCTAGCCAAGGGAGGAATACAAAATTACTCATAACACTATGTTAAAGTATACAATGTTCCCAAATATATTTAAATATATACTTCCTATATAAAATCTTTATATAAAATACAATGCATTTAAGATTTTTATATAAGTATTATATATATATATATATACATCTTTAGACACAGTGGCTCACACCTGTTAATTATTCCCAACATTCTGGGAGGATGAGGCAGAACTGCCAAGTTCAAGCCCTGCCTAGACAACACAGCAATTTAGCAGTACTCTTTTCTCAAAAAATACAAAAGGCACCACACCAGTCATGGCAGTGCACACCTATGATCCCAGTACGTGAGAGGCTAAGGCAGGAGGATCACCATGAGTTCCAGGCCAGCCTTGAGGTACATAGTGAGTTCAGGTTAGCTTAGACTAAACAACAAGACCCTACCTCAAAAAAAAGACCTAAGGGTACAGCTCAATGTGAAGGCCCTAGGTTCAAGCCACAGCATCAGGGGAGAAAAAAAAAAAATCCAACTATACCCACATAAAGACCGGAAGGAAATGTACCAAAGCACGGTTCTCAATAATGGGGCTGCAATTTTTGGTTTTTGCTTTTTCTTTTTTAGGTTTTTTGAGACAGGGTCTCACTATGCAGTTGAGGCTGACCTGGAACTCACTATGTAGCCCAGGTTGATCTCGAACTCACAGTGATCCTCCTGCCTCAGCCTCCTGAGTGCTGGGATTACAGGCATGCGCCAAGGGGCTGTAATTTTTTCAATTTTTGCTTTGCATTTTAGTATTTCGCAGTTTTTTTAATTAAGTGTACTATTTTTATGTTTAGAAAAACAAATTAGTTTTTGGTTTTTTGCATTTTGTTTTGGTTTGTTTGAGACAAGGTCTCACTTTATAGCGTAGCTGGGCTTCAAACAAGTGTGCCCAACCAAGCCCAGCAGGAAAACAATTTTTTAAAGAGAGTTGCTCAAGTTAGTGGAAAGAATACTGTATTTATTTTTAAGTCTTGTGGAACAAGTACAGAAGTAGCATTGGCCAGGATGTGAGGAGAGAGACTCTATCTAAGTAGAGAAGCGGTCCTTTCTGAATAGAATTTGGCTTTCTGAATTAATTATCTCCAGCTTCTCTTTAATAATGACTGGTTTTCTCAGGGTAGGGATTCTTTCTGTGATATAAGCAAACATATATTTCAGAGAAGGAAAGATGATTTACAATGGATTTCATTCATCTAAACTAGTTATTTTAGGAAAAAAATCACAAGAATCACTACAGAGTTCTTAATTTTCAAACAGCTAATTTAGTCACATCACTCAAAGTGTAAAATGTTGTATGTACAGTGTTTGAAGTGAAAAGCTTCCCTCCTGCTGCACCTGTCTCCCAGCTACCAACAGGCAGCCTGTTATTTGTTTGCAGTCCTTCTAGAGACAGTTTATCCAAATTCAAGCAAATACATTCTGCTCCCGCCAGGCGTGATGGCCCATAACTGTAATCCCAGCACTCGGCTGAGGCAGGAGGATCTCTGTGAGTTTAAGGTCAGCCTGGACTACAGAGTGAGGGAAATCTCAAAAAACCCAACCCCCCACCAAAAAAGTATATTCTGTTCCATTTATTTTATTTTACTACTGGGGATTGAACCGAGGGAGCACTGAGATACATCCTCAGACCCACTGACCCTTGCTCTGACAGTCTTCTAAATTGATCAGGCTGGCCTCCAGCTTGAAATTCGCCTGCCTCAGCTTCCCAAACTGCTAGCATTACAATTAGGAAGGATTTATACACTAAAGGTATTTAGTTTAAGTTGTCACACGTAACTACCATTTGTAGGTTACAGAAGTAATGGGAAAAAAATCATTCCCTGCCTGTTTTTATAGATGCAAACAAAATACTGGACTGAGTTCCTCTAAAGAAAACTACTTCTCAATATACCTATTGAGAATAAGCATCTATTCTCATCACATAAATACCTAACCTGGGAGAAAGGTTACAGAGCTTTTCCCACTGTGAGAACCTAATAATCTTACTACTACTGTTTTTCAGCTAATTTCAAATGGCTATCAGATCACAACTTAATACCTTAATTACTGTTTCACAGAAATCCAATTTCTGAAAATTAATAGCCTACAAACAAAAACTTTTGTATATGTTTTAGAAGAAAAAAGTTAATTCTCCATTACTTGTGGTTATAGTAACTATTCACTTAAAATGCCACAGTGATGAGGTGGAAGAACTGGGAGGTTTTAGGCCAGGGAAAGCTTGGGGAGTTCAAGCTAGCCTCAATTACATAGCAAGAACCTAACTCAAAAAAACCTAAGTAAATAAAGTACTGGTACCACTTATGTATGAGTAAAGAAGTTAACATGTTTATATTCAAATTATATTTGGACAGTTCACACCCGTCATCTGAACTCATTCTAGCATAAGTCCAGCTACAAGCAACAGAACACAGTGGGTGAGTAGTTACCTCTGAGATGAGTGCCCAGACAAGCCTTCTAGCCAGCATCACTGTGATGAATGCTGCCAAGTGATAATCAATGAGGTGAAAATTCTGGAAGAGAAACAAAGATCTGTATCACAAAGAAACACATGTGTACCAAATGCAATACTAACTGAACAGAGGTCTGCCCCCTGGAGCCTCACTTCCCCTCAGTCCCTTCCCCAGTCTTCTTATCCCTGCTGCTTTAAAATATTTGGTGGCAATACACCTGTAATTCTAGCACTCAGGAGGCTGAGACAGGTCAGCCTGCACTACACAGTGAGTTTCAGGCCAACCTAAACTACACAGTGTGATTTTATCTCAAAAATCAAAACAACAAAAAATTATACTGTTAGTTTTTCTCTGTAACTTGACTTAGAAATATGCATTATATTCAATCTCTTCTATAAAAACAACAGTATTATCTAGATACCACCTATAGTTCCTTTCTGTTCTAAGTTTATACAGAATTCTGATAACAAAGTAAAATCTTTAGTTACAATATTTTTAGAACCAACAAAACTAGTATATATTTTCTTTTGATAGTAAAAAGTCACACAGGTTTTTATAATTTCTTTCAAAATGAAAAGCTGAAATTCTCAATTAATTGAATAAAAATATACTTAGCATGCCAGAAACCCTTGACATTAAGTATATAGTACCAAAGATGACAGCCAAAATTCCTGCTCCTGTATCTTACTTTACTATAGCGTGAGGGGTATTATGGCTTGGGTTTAGATGTCCCTCCAAAGCCTCATACCTTCTCAGAGGTGGCTGAATCTAGAGTGTGTGACTGATTCATGGTGGGGCTAGGATTAAAAGTGTGAGTGCTACCCACCTTAAGTAGTCTGAACAAGATAAAAAGGGGCAGAAAGATACTATTAAGGTCACTTGCTGCTTTGCTATCCTGTGGGTGTCATGACCTGTTTCTCCTCTGCAATGGCCCTCTGCCATGTTCTACTCTGCCTTGGAGCCAGCCGAATATGGACTGAAACCTCTACAACCTGTGAGCCAAATAAACCTTTCCCCCTTTTAATTTTTGGCGTCAGGTATTTTGTATCAGCAACAAGAGAAAAGTAGCAACACAAGGAAAATCAAATGGCAGAGATTACTAGTTGTTCTGCCATCAGAGTAGAATTTAACCGGGGCCGACTTTTTGCTAAAGGTACATTTCCCAGCCACCCTTGCAAAATTTCCTCTAGACAAAGACAGATAAAGTATACAATTATTAAAAAGGTTTGGTGATGTAGCTCACTATGAAGGCCTTAGGTTCAATCCTTTGTACCACAAAATAAACAAGCAAGTTTCTTTCCACACTACCTTGAGGATTTGGATCTACATTTTTTTTCTATTCTGACAGAAAGGTTTAAAATCTCTTTTTATAAGTCCCAGACACACTGGGGCATAGTGGCACATGCCTATAATCCAAGCACTGTGGGAGAATGAGGAAGGAAGATCTCAAATTCTAGCCCAGTCTGGACAACTTAAGCAAGAAACTATCTCAAAATAAAAAATTAAATATAAAGTAAGTCCAAACACATACACATTATTCAGGACCACAGTGCTCTTTGTTCTAGGGAATAACTCTTTCATGCTCATCCAAATTGGCCCCTGCCAACCACACATGCCAAGGTATATGACTTTACATTTATTTTATATGAAGAAGCTTCTCTACAGCAAGATTATCATGGCCCTGTTAAGACAGGTGGAAAGAGTAGAAGAAAACTACACTATGCTTTTATGTCCCTCAGTAGAGACAGGCAGTTCCTACCTAAACATTTATTTTTGTTAACAGCTACATTTATTTTTGAAACAAAACCCAACTGTACTCAGGTTAAGTATGAATCTAGCCAAAGGGTTATAAATTCTCTAACCTCCATTAGGTAGTGCTGCACATGTGAAATGACAGGAGCCTAATCACAAGAAACTCTCCTTTGTATTTCGCTATGTTCTTGCTCCTTTCTGGCAGACTGGAACAAACCACAGCCACTTGAGGCCACATGCTGGAAGACATCAGTCCCCACCAATGTGAGTCCCCTGACTGGCTGAATGGAAGAACTCCACCAGCCATGACAACCACTTCAGACTGTGTGATTTAGAGGCATTATGCGATTTGGAGTTGATTTGGTATATAAGTTGCACTATTCCAATTCAGCTATTCAAAAGGTAAAAGTGATGGAATTCCATCATACTTGACACCTTACATTTACAGCAAGCTTAACACTACAGACATTTAAATATCAAAACCTTCCTATTATTGTAAGTTATTTAAATATTTTCTGCATTTTTATTTATGTTTACTTCCTCTGGAATATTTATATATATATTTTTTTTTCTTTTTATTGAGTTTATTGGTACAATCGGTATACAAT